TTCATCCATAATCCAATCAAACAATGTGATATGAGAAAATGCCTGGCCTTCCTTGAAATTCACATCTGCCCTCTGATCCAAAGACACTCGTGGCAATGTGGAGAAGTGATTAACGTGTCGAGATTATACGCTGTACCGTCATGGTCCGAGTTCAGCTGGGGGTTTGGATAAGACCTAGGCGAGGTCGAAACTGTAGTCCACTTCTGTCTGGATGAGAACACTTTTTGGGAAAACAAGGCAAGGTGAAGTTCAATGGAAGAGCCAGCTCCAATCATATGATCGTGTGAAAACCCAACTACCAGTCCTTCATCACCGTAAGCGATATAGAATGAATGCATTTCATGTAAAAAATGAAGTCAGGAAGTAATCGTCAAAACGTATAACAGAAAAGGTGAAAAATTGAAGTGAGTTACTAGCGAATGCAAGCTTACTTTAGAGTATGGTTCGATCATTGAACGCTCCTCGCCTTCAGCTAACTGATATCCACCTGGTCCTACGTCCGGTAGCACCGGATGTAGAGGATCTTCCATAGCCTGGCGTGCCTCAGCTGCCAGCTCCTCAGCTTCCTGACGCTTTTTCCGAGCACGCGCCAGAGTATTAAGCTTATCTAGGAAGCTGGTCCCAGCCACTCCGCCAGCGCCAAGGCCGAGGCCACTGCTGCCTCCTCCACTAATCCCGGAACCGCTAAGGCCCCCTCCGCCCGGACCAGATGCATAGTGAGAAGGCGAGCCGAGGCGGCTTCGGCGCGGACTACTCGGACTTCCGTAGGACACAAGTTGTGGCTAAACGAAACGGAGGCATAACCACCGGTGATGTTGATTGCAGAAATAATTGTTTATTTGGGCTTTTAACGCTGTGAAAAGTGAAATACTCATTTAATCATGCCAAGAATTATATTGAATAAGGAAATGAGCGAAAAAAACAGATATCTCTATGGGATTTTAATGCAGATGGACAGATAAGAATGTTTCATAAGGATCAATAAATTGGCTAATTCTCATTAGTTTATAGGATAAAACTTATAGACACTCAACGAAGTGTAATGATGTT